TGTAGTTTTATCAATTAATATATATGTTTTCCAGTCTACGCGAGCTCGGGTTTGGTATTCACAAATCAAATATAAGGTTAGTTGATATTCCGGATTTGGTATTCACAAATCAAATCTAATCTTTCTATATTCATACATCTCTTTTTATCTATTATTTTTTACTCACAAAGCCAGAGAAAACCAACAAATGATTAGACCTTTCTGTAATTAAGTATAATCATCAAATTTTGCATTTTCTTCATCAGATCCGTGAGCCAATGATTTGACCTTTCTGTAATTAAGTATAATCATGAAATTTTGCATTTCTTCATTATATCCATGAGCCACGTATTTGCGCCTTATGATGCGAAGTGTATAATTTTTCCAAAAGCAATACCGTAGTTTCTTTCTTTTCTTTTTATGTTGAGTAACATTTTGTTTTCTTTCCGATATTTGATTTTCTTTGTACTTGTGTTGCAGAATGAAATATAAAGTTAACATTTGAAGAGATTATTCCTCCACTTTAAACCATTTTGGTGGAGATCACGACCTTGGCGAGAAAGTGAATTTTTCCACTTTTTGTAATGTAATTTTCCATTTTATATATGTTTTGTGAATTTGTGAATTTTATTGTTTTTGTTACTAATTTTCGTGTGTAACCAACAATCAAATATATGCATAGAATAGCATTATGTAAAAGTGTACTTAAGTATATATTGAATATTTTCTTTGGCAAAAAAGTGATTATATAAGTTTTAGCTTTTCTTTGGGATAATTTTCAAATAAAAATTTTTATTATTCGTCAATTGCGCAATATCTATTTATGATTTCTTTTTGTTTGATTTATTTTGCAATCTGGATATTAATTTAGAAGCTAATTAATTTTTGTAAGTAATTAGTTTCACATTTCACGTATTCTCATTCATTAAAATTAAAATCATTTGATACCAAGGTTTTAATATTTTCTTGTAAAAGATTAAGAAAAAAAAATCTTTTCCAATTATTTTTTTTATCTTTCACGAACATAATGATTTTATGCTTTTTAAAAATACTAATGAACAAAATGTACATCATTTCTAAAATAACCTAAATGTATAATCTCAATTTTCTATCAAAAATATTAAAATTATTTAACAAATATTTTGCCCCTGCATAGCGGGGACCTTAATACTAGTAGTTCTTAAACCCAAATGATCTATGTGAAAACAATAGGTCAATAGCACCAAATCAATTTGTAAATCTATCGCGAGGTATCAACTCGATCGAGGTTGTTTAATTCCCTTAAAACGAAAGCTGTATGTTTGTGTTTGTCTTGTCACCATG